GTGTGTATGCGTGTGTATGTGACTGCGTCTTTACTAACGAGCCCATGCATGTGCGCACGCAGAGCGTCCTCATGTACTGGACGTCCTCCTCGATCCTGACCATCTTCATGAACAATGCCCTGCGCCGGATTGGGTTCCTGCGCCGTATGTATGACATCCCGGAGATGGTTGTGACCGCCGAGCAGCGGCAGGCGGCCACCGCCATCCAGACTCACGCGGCCGTGGCCAAGAACAACCCGGCCTTCGCCCAGCAGGAGGAGCAAATCAGGTCCTCCATGAAGAACTACGAGCTCCGGCAGAAGGCCGCCCTGAAGCCCAACCACACGCAGGTCATGTCGTCGACTCGTCCGCGTGTTGCCCCGAAGGCCAACAAGTCGGTCACCGTCAACAAGTGAAGGAGGCAGATGGTGGCATGCGTGCGCCTCCCCTCGGGTTTGCGACGGCGGCGGCGGCGGCGGCGGCTGCTGCTGCTGCTGCTGCTGCCTGTGATGCTGCCAGGTGGCGGCTCGGGTGACCGCATGCATGTGTGGTCCTTTGTCGTTTATAGAATGTCCTTCGCTTTGCGCTTTTTTTGTCACGCGCATGCGCGTGTGTTTATGTGCCTGTGTAGTGTGCGTCCATTGTCCTACGCATTTCACCATGCCATCCCCGCGGCCGGGGTCTGCCCTCCTCCCTTCCCCATGTGCCTGGTCCAGCGGGGGGTGCGCATGCGTCCAACCATCAGATACCTTGATGTCCCCCTTGTCATAGCATGAGGCCCTCTGCTCCTCCGTCTCTCTCTTCCTCCCCCCCTCTCTCTCTCTCTCTCCTCCTCGCCCCAATCTACACGTTGAATGTTTCGCACTTTCCTCTTTTTAGGGTCTTTTTTTTTTTGCTCTCCTCCCCGTGGGAGCCCGCCAAGAGGAAGCCCAGCAAGAGGGGCCTCTCCACTTCCTCCCTCTTTCTCTCTCTCTCTCTCCCTCTCTGTGCATGTGCGTGCGTGTGTGTGTGTGTGTGTGCCTGCTCTTGTGTTTTCCCGCGAACATGTGCCCGTGCGTGTTCAGATGAGAGGGGCTAGTCGTTTGTGGTCTCGGGGGGCCAAGAAGGTGTGGGGAGGAGCATTTCGTGCAAAAGAAGTGGTATATAAGGACCGGCCTCGGGGGAGGCCCCATCGTTGAGGGGTAATAGCTCAGTGGTAGAGCACCCGCTTCGCATGCGGGGGGTCTGGAGTTCAATCCTCCATTGCTCCATCTTTTCTTTTTCCCGGCCTCCCGAAGACACCCGCCGCCCCGGAGAAGACCTCCCGCGTATGTGTGTGTGTGTGTGTGTGTGTGTGTGTGTGTGTGTATGTGCGCCGCCGCACCCGAGTGGGAGGAACCGCTGTGCAACCGGCCCGACGCTGCCCCCTGCGCCTCCGGTTTCCTGGCCCTTCCCCGACCGGTCGCATTTGGTGGTGCCCCTCTGCCCTGGCATGCTCACCAATGCCTGCCTGAGCGCTGGGGTAGATCGCATCCACCCCGGGCCTTGTTCTCGGTGAGAGCAGGACCTGGCCGCCAGCATGCAGCTGGCAGAAGGCCGCAACTGTCGCTCAGTGTCCCCTCTTCGGCCCTGGTACCGGCGTCCTTCCCTGGGCAGCCTGGTCCGATGGGGGAGCCGCGGTTTTCCGCCGACATCCCAGCATCTTGAGGAATGCTCATTCTCTTCTCGGTGTCTGTGCCACTTGCCCTTTGCCCGGACAGAGACGTGGCTCTCCATTCGGCCCCTCGTCCGGGGGAGGGGCGTGACTTCGTTCGTGATGGGCTTTTCCCCGAGGCCACAGATGGCCAGCTTCCTCCCTTGCCCTGCCCCGGTGGTGGGTCTTGTCTTGTCAGGGTGTGCCTCCTCTCTCGGGATGGAATGCCTCGAGTGGTTGTGTGTGCATCTTCTCGGGTGCGGGAGGATGTCGCAGGCCAGGCATTTGAAGCACGCTCTTTTAGCGGTGCATCCGCAGGATGCTCCACCGACAGGGGTAATAGCTCAGTGGTAGAGCACCCGCTTCGCATGCGGGGGGTCTGGAGTTCAATCCTCCATTGCTCCATGCCTATCTTTTGCTCTTTTTCGGCTCCGTTCGGTTGAACACAGCTTGCCGGCGGGGGGCTCCCTGTGTATGTGTGTGTGTGTGCGCGCGAAAGTGTGAAATGTCAGGAGTGGATCGCGCGTTATTTCATCCCTCCCAGTGGCAGGCCCGGAGTGCGAAGAGCGCCAGATGAGGGCGGAAAGCCGTGCGTCTGTCGTCCTCCGACGGTCCGGGCTGCGCCGGGGAGAGAGGCAGGCAAGCGATAATCGAGGATGGGGAAAGGCCCCGGTGGCGGTGAAGTGCGCAAAGTCCAAATATCTCCCTGCCCGAGCAGATCATCATGTATTCGGGGTAATAGCTCAGTGGTAGAGCACCCGCTTCGCATGCGGGGGGTCTGGAGTTCAATCCTCCATTGCTCCATTCTTTTTGTTGGGCGGGAGC